GTCTAGCGCCGTTAAAGATGGCCTCGGAGCGGTACCTCGTAGCCGTGCAAGCCGGTCCAATGATAGTACGACAACGAATTAGACTTCTAGTTGTCCTGTATCGACGGCGCGTATACTAATATAGTAGCTGTTGCGGCAATTTTTTTGTAATAGTCGTGTATATTACTCTCTGGCAAACGTCATTCTTCCCGCAAGTGGCTGCTGTTCCACAAGAATGAAAATACATCAGACTGCCTCCTTAAAATGAATGTGGAGTGACAAGTTGTGACAGTAAGACGAATGAGAATTGGATTTTTGGCGTGCCCCAGAACTTCTTCTGAGAAGGCGATTCTAAAACTTCTATAGGCGATAGAACACTCGTGCATTATCGATGCGAAGACTCAAAACACCGCCTGCGAGCAAGTGGTGGTCGTTACTGGCGAGGTCTCAAGCGTTCGTTCGCGACGCCCCCGCGCGACCGGTGGATAAAATGCGCTTGGTCTCCAGGCCAACAAATCAAGTGAATCTCGAAAGCTGACAAAGTGTGGCTGGGTTCTACTTGGCGTGGTTAGGCCGATTTTCTTGTCCCAAGCTAAGTTCGGCCTGATATGTTCGTCCACACTTGCGTTGTTCTAACACATTTATTATTCGGTTTTCGATCTTAGACCTTGTTATACAATAATGTAGAAAATTATGAAAAAACTTTTATGTCGTAATTAAGGTACGGTCGCTTCTTTAGTGAGAAGTTGTACTTTGACAGCATTCGCTGCCGTTCATTTCCTCCCGTAAAAAATTCCCACCAGATGAACAAGTGTACACTCGCAAAGGCTAAAAAGTTGTCGTTCTTTCATGTACTCCAGGCAATGATTCTTCATTATACGCTCAGGGTAGACAGATTTAGATTTCTCACACATGAAGTTTGTTTGGTGATCGTACACCGTTAATTTTAGATACCTAGTGTTTCCCAGGGTTCCGTTAGTTAAGGTGTTACCGTTTGAGTCCTTATGTACTAGAAAGACTGTATTGGTTCGCTGCTTGCCGACTCCAGGAAGGTTCTTAACTTTCTGTGCCATATTACACGGACCGCAGAAGAAAGAAAAGAGAAAACCTTGATGCAGATGAGGTACGCGGTGTATACCTCAAAGGAAACTAGTTGGCACGGTTGTGTAGCTTAACAATGAGGATACATACCCAGACTCAGCACTCAGCCGTAAGGAAGTAATAAATAATTATTTCATTTTGACGATCTATTTGAATTACTCATACCTTCGCGTCTAGGATTTTTTAATATGCGTTTGATACTACTTCTCTTATACTATTATAGAGGCGAATTGTAAGAGCGGTCGGTGTTCAGTGTTCTACTAGATGTCTATTTTACTATGTGTGTATATGGACGAGTTAGTCTTTTACGACAGTTAATCCTACTAGGTTCGGGGTATCGGAAGAGCATTCTTTTCTGATAACTGTACTACATTGTACCAACTACTTACATGACGTCATATCTTGCAAGACCTTTGTCGATGACCTGTACATTAGACTCTGAATAGCTCAAGTGTTATGGACAGAGGGTTCTTCATAACATAACAACTTCACCTAGCGTAAGAAGAACTGGATGTCTTTTTAGTCTTTCCACGAAAGCGACCAGATTGTCGTCGGGTCTCTTTTATTATCATTGATGTTACACTTTGGTGGTGTATGACCATAAATAATTCCGTTCCTTAGTAGCACGCGCTACTGGATGATTAGGTCTCGACAGTTAGCAAGTCGTATGTTCGATTCCCCCTTTGTTAATCTGTAAGTGTTTCTCGAGACTAGTCCATTTAGCTACATTTACTACTAACATGTATATGCTGGTTGGCCAGTTTAACACCGAATAATCCCAATTAGCGTTAAGTCAATTTGTCTACTGTTACAATGCACCTTTTTTTTTTCCGCACTTACATAAAATACCCTATTTTTTCTTGTTTGTCTAACAATACGATATTTACAATACGATATTGATTTATTATGACTTATATATCTCGTTGCGCACGTCTGCTACGATTTTTTGTAGTTCACGCTAACAGACCTTGCTACTGCTTCTACCCCTTCTCCCCCTAGCGAAACCACAAATAAGACTATATCAACCTAAAGGCGATAATACAACAAAACAATAACAAACACAATATATTATAACTATATTTACTGTTTTATATAGTATACATATACGAATATATAGACTGCATGATCGACTCTCCACTCACCACGCCACCCCAACAAAACAGACAACGACAATATATAGTTGAACACTAAACAGGATTTAGAAAACAAAGTAAAAAGACACACGACCATCATTTTATCAGGTCGATGTAGATTTTTTTAAATAAGAGGACTCATTTTTACAGCGTCATGCAAAGTGTAGTCCTGACACCTGTAGAGCCGGTAAGGAAACATCAAACTCCACGCACTGAAAGGTCCCGTTCTACAGAGTCCTGCAGTCTTTGTCCTAGCACGTTACTCAGAGCGTACTTAGTGGTTTGAAGGGACTTTGTGTCTACCATACCTCCTCGACAGACACCCCCGACCGCTTCGTCTCTGATTAGGGAATTCCTATGGACAGGACAGGCACATTCTACTAGGTAGTTGAACAACCCTGTATTTTGTTGGTTTTCGGTCGTCCCTCTCGCGTGGTAGGAGTGAGAAATTTCCGATAGGGTGTTTTGCTACTTACGACTAAATACTGAACAAAAATTCTGGCGTCTCAAAGGAGGGCACAAAAAGATAAATAGCAAAATAAGCCAAGACAGGTTGTAGACATCCCAAAAAACAAACCCTGTACGACAGGTAAGCTAAAATCCGCTATCCGTATGAACTTTTCTTTTCTTTTTAGGGGGCTACTTACAGTGCCACGTAAAGTCGTGAATTAGCATAATCTACAAGAAACGACCGCCCATGGTCTGTATTACGATTGTTTGTGGCTCTTTCGGGTCGCTAGGTAGTATCTAGAAATAGAGTCTGTAATGTCTGACCAATGGTTGAACAGCATTTCCGTGCACATGACTTGTGTTTAAAGTTTATATTCCGTTTGAGTTTTGCCCATGTGAACGCAAACCAAACCTTCTGAAAAATTAAACAATGTAACAAACTGTAGTCAGCGCACCAGAACACGGACTATTAGGTGTGAATGCACCAAACTCCTTTAATGATTCTTTAATAAAACCCTTGTTGATGTCCCAACACCTATGATGAATTACATTATAAATATATTAAAATATCCTAGTTTTGTTTATCCTATTGTGGCTTATGACAATGTAGTTTGCTAAGTGAAGTGCTCTGCTTTATGGCAGTTAGGCAGGAAGACGAATCAATCTGACAATACGTTTGAAACCCAATGTTTCACAATATAATTTAACCATTTAAGGATTAGATGTATGCATTTATATCTGTTTTTGATATTGCTAATATCTCCATATTGATGTAACTGTGCTATTTATATTTGGAGAAAGAAGAGGGTGAATGCATTTTTTTTAAATATCTGAAATAACACAACAAATAATGATGATGAAGATTATTTAAACAAAAGTTCTTCCTTTTTGATCAAAAAAAGACAGTTTTGGCCCTCATGCACTTCAGCTTTCTCACAGTCTTATCACATGTAGTGTGAGTAGCTCAGGATCAAAACACCTACATGTTTGTAGCAATGTGTGTGTCATATTCGGGGCCATCTGATCATCTCGGCTTTCATAGCGGCAGGATGGGCTCCTTGTATTGTCTGAAAGGAAACACACACACACTCACAGACACACGCACGTGTCTGGGTGTTATCAACTCTAGACAATACAGAGGAACAGGAGGACAAAGACAGGAGAGAGTGTTGTCCTGAGGGCCAGTCAACACACACACACACACACACACACACACACACACACACACACACACACACACACACACACACACACACACACACACACGATGACCTCATGCCTGATAAACACATGTGGAGCCCTTCTACTCTTACTAGATGAAATGTAAGTTTTTTTTGCCACCATTCCTTCCCTTCGCTTTAAAGGTATTTTGTGGTATATTTTAAGCTATGACGCTGATTTATTTCTCAGCAGTAGTTAAACTTTGTCTTTAGTGCACCTCAAGTTTCTCAGACATGTCACAACCATGCAACCTTTTCATCCCTTCTCTGCAAATAGCAACATTAGGTCACATTTAAATCTTCTCTAAGCACTTAGTGGTGTTGGTGTAAGAGATCCCAAACAAAAAGACTTGGAGCATGAAATACGGGGCTGTGCAGGGAACACAGAGGAGGAGGAGGAGGAGGAGGAGGAGGAGGAGGAGGAGGAGGGGTTGGCAGGGAGAGTTGTGTTCAGGGGATGTGGGGGCAAGAGACAACTCAGCTAAAATAAAGAAAGAAAGAAAACTCCTCCCAAATACAGAGGAGAAAGAGGAGGGGCTGTGTGCTCACAAATCACTCCCCTGAGAGAGAAAGAGGAGGGCAGGGCTTCTGATTGTGCGGCGCTACTTGTTGTTGCCTGTCTCAAGCAGCGTGAGTGAGTAATCTTGCAGCCGGTCCGCTAGTCAGAAGCTCAGTCATTCAAACAAACGATGAAAGGGAATACTTTGGATTAGATACGACTGAAAGAAAAATAGGAGCAAAGACCAAGGGATAGAGAAAAGGTCACGCTGACAGGTATGGAATATAAATGTGTGTGGATGTGTGTGGAGGAATGTGTGTTGTTAAGTCTTGATGATGGTCATCTCCTCTGCGTGCATTAGAGTCATTTCAGACTTTTTTATTTAAAGGTAGAAATAGTAAATGATTTGTTTCTCTTTCTGTGGCTGCTGTGTATTTCACCACACTGCCTTCTCCTCTCAGCTCTCTCTCTCTCCACCCCTGTTGGTTGAATTGTTTACATCTCAAAAGTGAGTTAGATTTGCTCGGGGACTTTTTGAGCAATAAGTCGTCTTCCCAAGGCGCTGGGTGTAGCTGTGGTTGATGGGGTTGGTTGGTGCTGCTAACTGTAGAAACCCCCAGCAGGAAATAATTACATGGAATATGAGAGATAAGATGAAGATCTTTCATCACGGTTTTGGGTTTGGGTCAAGATTACAATGTTTTGCACAAGTTTATTTTCTCATCATGAATAGGTTTTGACACTGCTGTAAACCCACCAATATTTATTTTAGTATTTCATTTTAAACTTGAAAAGGTTAAGGAGGGCTCTTATCAAACAGCTGTCGTGCTCAGAGACACTTTGACAGGTTGCAGCTCTCTGACCTTTGAGAACACATCTTTAAACGGTAAACCACCCACGAGATGATGACAGGCAGACATGTGTGTGCATCTGTGTGTGTGGATGTCTTGTGAAGAGAAACATGCAGCAGGTTGTTTTCCGATATTAGTCAGTGTCAGGTCTGAACCCTGTTGTGGCGTTGAATCGAGCCAATGAGATTCAACCTTTGATTAATGCTGAAATTTGTCAGACTCACATAGCTCAGCTGTAACTGTGTGACGGTTGCCTACTTGCAGTGTGTGTGTGTGTGTGTGTGTGTGTGTGTGTGTGTGTGTGTGTGTGTGTGTGTGTGTGTGTGTGTGTGTGTGTGTGTGTGTGTGTGTGTGTGTGTGTGTGTGTGTGTGTGTGTGTGTGTACACGTTTGTGGTGTTGTGTTACTTGCTCCTGTGGGATGAAATGGTTGGTATTCCAGCCAGCCTTCAACACATGTGTCTTGTAATCTTCAAAAAAGCCGAACCATAGCAAACAAAAATCAAAAATGATAATATACTTTTTAAGGCTTTAACTTCAGTATTCTGATGGGATACTGGTCTATAACTTTAGCAGTACTGCCTTTACCAACTTTTAACATTTCTACATTTTAAGAAATTAATAATACTTTTTTAAATATACTAGTTAACCGTGATGCTACCAATTCATTTGTGGACTAAATATTGAGGCAAAAGCTGCAACAACATCTCATCAATAATGTTGAAATCTGAAAGGAGCATTACTAGATTTGCTTTTGGCACTCACACTTCAAATCTCCAACTTGTTTTATAAAAGGAAAGGCTCTCATTTGCTTTCTTGTCAAATAAGATACATTCATTTGTCATGTATGTAGATAAGGAAGTTAGAGCTAAGGCGACGGTATCTTAGCTTAGCACAAAGTTTGGGAACATAGGGAAACAGTACAAGAACAAAATTGAAAACTTGATAATATCTGGTCTCACTGAAATATGTGTGAATTAATTTAGTTTTGTCATCAGTTACCATCTAAAGCTTCCTGTTTAGCATAAAGACAGAAGTGTTGCCTTTTATCCAACTCTCTGGAAGTAAGCAAATAAGTCTTTTACACAAACAATGTGACTTCCGTCTATTAAGGAATTTCATTTATTTTCATCTGCATGATTGTTAGACAACAAGATGGACACACTGAACCTTTTTATCTCAGAAACATAAACACAATCACATGCCAATTTAGCATGTCCATTTATAACTAAGCAATTGGTTGGTTGGTCATGGTCATTTTAATTGTAGCTATAAAGTTGTTACACCCAAAAGGCCGGCTGAGATGACACCACAAGCGCAACTTAACTGCATGTGTTACCATCTTTGATGTTGCTGGAGCATCATTTCAACTACAGCTTGAGTTATAGATTTGAGATGGAATTACTTTTTGAAGGAACTAAATACTGACTGACTCAGCTGGCTGCTTCTATGTGACTGACTGGCTCACAGTGTGCTGATCAGTGACTGTACACACATTTTGTCTCACACTTTCCATCTCTTAAACGACATATGAAACAAGCACACATGGAGGGCAGGTGGTGTGTGTGTGAGAGAGAAAGAGAGATTCAAAAGTTTTAAATGGCAGCTACTGCTGTGGGATTTAATAAAAGACTCAATAATATGTTGCACACCCATACACACTGGTAAACCTACGCACCGAAGAGCGCAGTAGGACCTCTCTCTCTCTCTGTCTCTCTCTGTCTCTCTCTGTTTAACAAAGGCCGGCTCTAAACAGCGGTCATGTGACAGTTGTTCCCATTGTTCGCTTCTGGCCAGGGGTGGTTTGCGTGTGTGTGTGTGTGTGTGTGTGTGTGTGTGTGTGTGTGTGTGTGTGTGTGTGTGTGTGTGTGTGTGTGTGTGTGTGTGTGTGTGTGTGAGCATGCCATAGCAGGAAGACTCTTTAAGGCAGCTAGAGGAAGCCACTTATTCCCCAACATGTTTGTGTTGTCCTAGGATTTCTCTTTCGTATACTAGAGGACTTTTAGTCCAACCTGAATTCCCAGCAGTGGCCAAGACGCCTTTTGTGAAGTTCTTGAGTGGACTAAAGACAAGCTTTCTGACTCCTCACTGATGTGTATAGTAGTCAGAGGGAGAGATGGGAAAAGCCTACTATTAAATGATCAACTTTAGTTAAACTACATTTTACAAAGCAATGTCCTTATACCCTGTGAGACAGAAATAGAAAGAATTACAGTTATGGTGAGAGGCGATTTATGTTTTATTGCTGGTGATCCTTTATAATGAGATGCCTGCCGACTGTTTATACTGCCATTTCCTCTTCCTGTTAATCTGCACTCATTTCCCACCCAAGGACTTGTGTGTGTGTTTGTGTGAGTGTGTGCTGGCGTTCCCATCCCAACCCAAGGCCTCTACTAGTGTTGCTGATAAAGCAAACCTTACCTCAGAATATGTTGTGTTTTGCACCATGGTCAAGGGAAATACCTCTGATGCCAGGAGTATTTTTCCACTGTAAAATTTTATTTTACTGTTTTATTTGAGTGATATCCTCAATGACGGCTGGTTTTAAATGCTGTCCATTTCAGCCAATAAATTATCTGACTGCATATATTTGCTCATTTAAGATGTTTTAGTATCACTATATATATATTAGCTTATAAATGACAATAAACAAGCTACTTTTATGCTCTGGCTTCCAAAGAGGGATTTGTAAGCATAATTTAAAATGATAGGCCACAGCTTTAAAAATATGACTTATAAAAGAAGATATACATGTTTTTGAATATGTTGATTTACAAAAGTTACAAATAGTAGCACTGCTTACGGGTTTAAAGGAAATGTAAACTTGTCACTACACATTTAAATTATAGACATCAATTTGAATGATTTGCTGTTTGTTTGAAAGGATATTGTGTCAGTAGCAAATTCAAAACATAACCTCAACCTGCAATTGACAAGTAATCTAAAATGAAAGTTTTTAAACCAATGAAAGTTGTATTAGGTGTAGTGTTAAGATTCAGCTCGATAATGCAGATGTTCTTACTTACAAACTAACCTAAGTATGGTTAAAATTACCACAAAGTAAATGTTTCTGTGTATGTGCGCGAGTGTGTCTATTGAAGTGTGCGCTAGCCAATGGCTGAACAGCTGTATGGAGGAGAGGATGAGGCAGGCAGAGAAAAGGGGGGGATAAAAAGAGCAAAGTCTATTATTATGAGAGGAGGGAGGACAAAGGGCAGAAAGAAGGTGACAAAGTGAGGAAGCTAAAGAAGAGCTGACATCATGACGGACAGGCAGAAGGAGGGAGGGGGGGGGTTTGTGTCTGTGGAAGAGCACAACACTAAAAGAGAAAGGGGGAGATGGATATATGGATGAAGTCAAAAGAAGAAAGAGGAACTTAAAGGTCGCATGTCATGGCAATTTCTACTGATCATAATTCCATTGTTGAGGTCTACTAGAATAGATTTATATTGTTTAATGTTCCAAACTCACATCGGTTTCTCATACAGCATCTCTGTATAGTATGTGTATTCACTCTCTGTCCTACACGCTCGAGACTGCCAAGG